CTGCTTAACAATGTGGTTGAAATGAATTTGTGACATCATAAATTAAGGTTTTGAAACAAGATTGTTTGATTATTTTTGTTAGGAATCCTGCAAAATGGCGAACTTGAGAGAATATTATGAGAGGGCTTTGAGAGAGTTTGGATCTGTAGACTCTGGTAAGTAAACTTCAGCTCCAGACACACAAGTGTGTTTGCATGTGTGATTTGTAACTTATCAGTGTGGTTAGAACAAACAGTGTTTCTTAACTTTTGAGTCATAGCCCCCTTTGAGAATAAAACTTGCATCGTTGCTGACTGTTCCCTCACTTTGTGCATAAGTACTTGCAGATATAACTTTACTTTTAATTTCCAAGTTCACAAACGCGAGTCCATTGGTCTTCTATTAATTCTGGAAAAGAGGAAGATTTGCTTGGTTTGGTTCTCTTTAAAAAATGTAGTATTTGTAAGGGAAAGTTAATAATGTGGGTCAGAACAAGAAGGAATGGGAGTTATAGTAAAGGAGTAGTGGCACGCTAAATGACATTAGTTATCATTGACTATTGCCACATTGTCCTCATTTATATGACTTGCAGACCATACTCAGTTTTTGAGTGCCAAGTAATTTATGTGACATACCTACATGTTAGTTGTTAAACCCACATTTTAAAAAATGCATTAGTTCCTAAGAGGTTTCAGCAGACCTTCTGATGGAGCGCATGAAAAAACTTGTTTACTAACCCAGACAGGTTTTGTTAAGCATGGTAAAGAGGCTTATAGTGAATTCATTGAGGTCAATTTCCGAAACAGAGACTCAACAAAATTCTGCCTCTAAAATGTTGTCTATTTGAGTTAGTAACATACTAGTATATAGATTACTATGATTAAAATGAAGTTTTCTACTTAAAAAATTAGTGTTGACATATCTAGTGTAAAGATGATGAGAGAGGTATTGTTTCACATAGGGTTCTATGGAAATAATAAGCAATTAAGTTTTTTAGAAATCCTGTAGTGAATTGATATTAAATAATTAAGTTTACCTAAAAAAGCCTCATCCTTTATCTAATTGTATATTTATGGTAAGTTTTTGGTTCCCTTTAAAGATCTTTGGATGGATTACATCAAAGAAGAATTGAACCACCCCCTTGGTAGACCTGAGAACTGCGGACAGATATATTGGCGGGCCATGAAAATGTTGCAGGGAGAGGCAGCAGAGGCGTTTGTCGCTAAACATGCTATGCATCAAGCTGGCCATTTGTGACAAGAGGAAGACCATGCAACCTTGTAAAATAGTATTGTGAGCCCTCTGGGCAGGTTTTGTATGAATTCGTCTGCAATTTGTAGACAAGATTTTGAGACATGTTTTAATTTTGTGTTAATCTTTAATTCCAGGAAACAGACCTGCTGTTTTGTGGTCAGAGACTACTTGCTGAGGCTGGATCTACTGTAGGTTCTAAATGTTTTCCAAAATATGTGGAAATCACACAACTGATTAGAGTATCTCTAATCTCAACCTAGGAGTGGGTTGAAATTTGAAGAAAGTATAGTTCTGTTTATTTATTCTCTCCTTATTATGAAAGTATACGTGGTATGCATCTGTTGTAGAAAATACGGCGAGAATAGAATAATGGAAAGAAAATAAAAGTATCCTGTCATATCATCTGGAGTAAACTTAGTAATTTGATTTCCTTGATCAGAATTGGGTTTATTCTCTTAGATCACTCATTCATTCATTCATAGCAGGATTGAAAGGAAGCTCTTTGGGATGGAGGTAGGGTTGGAGGATCAGAGTTGGATGTCCTGAGAGCTGGCTGAAGTAGCAGAGAAGGATGCTGGGTATTGGGAGGGGGGGGGGGGAGTCCTTTAAGAAGATTAAGACTTTATAAAAGTGTCTTCTGTCACTGGGACTGACCTGCAGAGAAATGTTCACTGTGGCGTAGGCTTGGCAACCAAAGGGCAGGGACAGGGAGTCGATGAGAACTGCAGCGAAGGGCTTCGGAGGTGATGATGGAGGATGGTTTGGAGCAGAGAAGTGCATTCTGGGAGCAGAGGAGGCAGTTGGTATTTTGTATTTTTAACATTATAATGTCACTGGGAGAAGCATTTAGTACAGTTTACTTATATTTTATTTAATGTTTTTTAAAATAGATTTAAAAAACATTGAGTTTATAGCATTCCTTTGAATAGATGAGCCATGACTTATTTTTATTAATCCTCAATGGCTGGACCTTGTCATTTGTAATTTTTTTAATGGTAAATGCTGTTGATGAAGATTCTTATAACTTTTTTTTATATCCCTGGTTATTTGTTTAGTAGGTTGACATTTGACAGAACTATTAAAGGATATAACTTTAAAGGAATATTATGTATTGCCAATTTGCAATGTATGAACATACTTTCAAGCAATGTATGAAAATGTCAGCACTTTTGACTACAGTGGATATTTTATATTTTTTATCATTTTAATAAGTGAAAAATGACATGTGCATTTCTTTGACATTAATGAAATTAATGTATTTTTCCTGGTTCTTATATTCTCATGTTCTTTGACAGTTTTTTGAACTTTTTTCTTAGTAATTTGTAAGTTTTTTTTTTTTTATATATTAAGAACATTAACCTTCAGTTTGTCTCTCCTTTATTGCAAATAATTTGCCCCAGCTGCTTTAAAAAATATATATATATTTAAAAAAAAATATATTATTGATTTTTTACAGAGAGGAAGAGAAAGGGATAGGGAGTTAGAAACATTGATGAGAGAGAATCATCATCGATCAGCTGCCTCTTACACACCCCTTATTGGGGATGTGCCCGCAACCAAGGTACATGCCCTTGACCAGAATCAAACCTGGGACCTTTCAGTATGTAGGCCAATGCCCTATCCACTGAGCCAAACCGGTTTTGGCTCCATCTGCTTTTTTTTTTTTTAAATGTGTGTGTATGTGGTATGCTTTTCGACATCTAGAGGAGTGTTTTAAAGTGTGGTGTCCGTTGGTAACTTCTTTGTTTTTTTAATCCTCATGAAAGGATACTTTCCCATTGATTTTTAGAGAGAGTAGAAGGAAGAGGGACAGAGAGAAACATTGTGAAAGAAACACAATGATTGGTTGCCTCCTGCATAAGCCCTGAACAGGGCTGGAGATCGAGCCTGCAACCGAGGTGCCCTTGACTGGAGTAGAATCCAGGATCCGTCAGTGGGCCAGCACACTATCCACTGGGCCAAACTGGCTAGGGCGATAACCATTTTTTATTTGTGGCCATTTTTCTCTCTGTTGATGTGTGGTAATATCTTTATTATGTATTAAATTCCTGTGAATATTATAATCTGTTTTAGGGCATTTTTATTTTGAGCTTTTGCACTGTAAATGCTTACTTGTCATTTGTTTTAAAATAAGAAAATTTTTCTTTTTCCCTCTTATTAAGTATGGGGATTTTATCATTATAAATCTTTGGGTGGCAATTTTATTTTAGGAAAGAGATACTATGTTGCATGTAGGAATGGGGACAGAGTGTGGCGATTGGCTTCTTAGAGCAAAGCTATGAAGGTGGTTTCCCGGGGTTATCATAACCCCATGTCTGGTTCTCAGGATTGCAGGTGATGGAAATGCATTTACGGTAGCTAATTCACTTTTTTTTTTTTTTTTAAATATATTTTGTTGATTTTGTACAGAGAGGAAGGAAGAGAGATAGTTAGAAACATTGATGAGAGAGAATCACCGATCAGCTGCCTCTTGCACACCACCTACTTGGGATATGCCGGCAACCAAGGTACATGCCCTTGACCGGCATCGAACCCGGGACCCTTCAGTCCCCAAGCTGACGCTCTATTCATTGAGCCAAACCGGTCCCGGCAGCTATAATAGTTCACTTGTTAGATATGGTAGTTTCTAGCTCCATATGGCACTTTAAATTTATTAAATTTAATTCAATTTCTCATTTTCACTGGCAACATTTCAAGTGCTTAATAGCCATATGTTTACCATATTGGACAGCACGGATAATAGAATTTTTTTTCCCCCACCATCACAGCAGGTTCTTTGGGAGAGTTGAGGTAGATAAATCCAGTTAGATTTGAGGAAACTGACTCATGGGTCAGAACAGAACACATATTAATCCATCACATTCTCTTCCCTGTGGGAAAGAAAAATATATCAACTGATACACTAATTTTTTCAAATGTCTTATGTAGTTTACAAACAGTACCTACTTAGAAGGAGATGAGGGAATCAGCTCTCTGATCTCTCAAAGATTGTAGTAGGTGTCCTGGTAAGAAAGGAATCCCAATTTATAGCTTTTCTGCTACCTAAATGTTAACGCAATTATCCCACCTTGAGCCAGGTTAGGCCTTTTGGCTGGGGAAACGCATGAAGGCTGTGCTTGCCATCTCCTGCAGCCTTCAGGATGTACAGGGCTAGGCCAGAGCATTGAAAAAGGAGCTTTTCCCAGGTTAGACTAGGGTCAGCCCAGAATGGTTAGGGATACTCTGACCGCCATAGCCCATTGGTTGTGTCCAATTTGTTTTTATCATTTGTCCTGGTTTCTAATGGGCTAACTTAAATCATTAACTCAAGGTGGAGCCTCACCACAGGGCCGCTCAGTGGTCTCACCCATTTGTGGGCGAATGATGGTCCAAAATTCAGACTGAGTTCTAGAGAAATCTGTAAGATCAAAAGTGAAATGTGATCGGAGCTACAGTTAGAGTGGACTCGGCGGCAGGGATTGGAGGGTTTGAAGCTGGGTAGGGATGACCCTTGGCATTCCAGACTCAGTGTTGGGACTTCCAGCATCAAAAATCAGACTTGGGGTGGGTAGATGGGCTTTCGCTGCTGGGAGCGCCCCGCCCCTCCCATTCCTTCCCCTCCTCTCCCCTCTCGCGCCGCCCCCGGGTCCCTCGTGACCCCGTGCCCCGCCCCCTCGGCCGGGAGCGCCCGGCTGATTGGCCCTCCGCGCGGATCCTCGGGCCGCAGCCGGGCCAGCGCGTCACGTGGCCGCGTGGCGTCCAGGGCGCGGAGCCGCGGGCCGCTGGGCATGGACCCTCAGACCGCCCGGGCCCTGGCGCTGGGGGCCGCGGAGCCGCCTCGGGGCCTGCCCATGGCGAGCGGGCGGGAGTCGCCCCCCAGCCCTGAGGTGAGCTCTGCGCCCGGGGCGGGGAGCTGCGGGGCCGCGGGGCGGGGAAGCGCCTCGGGTCTCCGCGCGGACGTTGAGCGCGCGCTCGGGCTGGAAACGGCCGGGCGGCCGGGCCGCGCGGGGTGCGGGGCTGGTGGCACCCCGAGTGCGTGGGGGGCGCGCGGGGCGGGGAAGGAAGGCCTCGGTCTCCTGGGCGCTCCCCTGGGCGCTCCCGCGTCCTTGCTAAATGGGAAGCGGTGCTGATGGCCGAGAGCTGGAGGGCCTGCACGGGAGCCAGGGGAGGGCGGCGGGGCCAGGACGGGGCGTGGGGAGGGTGGCGAGGGGTAGAGACTTTTCCCGAAGGACCTGCGTCCGCTGGTGGGGATGCTCAGCGAACACAGCAACCGGGGGATGCCTCATGCGCGCTCTCTCCTATTCAGCGAAACGCAGAGGCCTGGCTTGACGCAGGGTTTCCAGAAACTTGGTTTCATTGGCGCGCCAGGCAGCTCCTGGTTTTTCAAAGGCTGTTATTACAGCCATAACCTGCACTTGTTTGCAGTCAGGAATCTCTGCGAGATGGTCAACTCCTGGCGGATAGAAACCAGTTAGGGTAACTGCTGTTGAACCTGGCGTCTAGCAGGGTGCCCGGCCCGATAGACACATTGATCGATTGGTTGGAGGAATGACCATGGCGTTTAAGCATGAAAGATAGTACTAACCAAAGTAGGACAAATGTAGTGATAAGACTTGCAAAGAAAATGACTTAGGAGTGCAGATGGGGTGAGGTTAATTTTGTGAAGGCTTAGCAGGAGGGCTGCGCACTTCCCCTCCACGGTGAGGGTGGCGCTGCCTGCAGAGGGGTGGGGATGCCGACATGCAGAGCAAACCCCTGTGGGCGTGGGTGGCAGAGCTGGGGGAGAACTGCTCCACAGGTTGAGGGGCTGATGGAGAGTTGGGAATGCCGTGGCTAATGTGATGCTTCCCTGGTGGAGCTGAAGATTCTTTTTTTTTAATCCTTACCCGAGGTTGATTACTTTAGAGAGTGGAAGAGAGAGGGAACGAGGGAGAGAAATGTCTATGTGAGAGACACATCGATTGGTTGCCTCCTGCACGAGCATTGACCAGGGTTCAGCCAAGGAAGGAGCCTGCAACTGAGGAACATGCCCTGGACTGGAATCGAACCCAGGATCATTCAGTCTTCAGGCTGATGCTCTATACACTGAGCCAAACTGGGGAGGGCGAGTTGAAGACTTTTGCGAGAGTAGTGGTGAATGTAAGGTGGGCGGGGTGGATGAATGGGGAGGCAGCTACGGAGTTATGGCAGTGCTGGAAGTGAGAGGTCCCACCAGCTGGCCCACACTACTAGTGACCAAGGGTTGTCACTGACGGCAGGAGGTGGGACTGATGCTTTAAATCCAGGTGTGACTAGATGGTGAGCTGGCTGGGGCAGGTGCCAAGTGCAGTAGGGGCAAAGAAGGTTGGGCTTAGAATCAACAAGTGGTACATCCCTGCTACGTGCTAGGTATCTTCCTAAGTGTTAGGCCCTTCTAAGTCCTCTGTAAGGTCAGAACAGTCACCCTCAATTTCCAGAGAAGGAACCCCAGGCGGAGTGGTTGAAATGATGTGTTTCAGGGTCACATATGGAATGAATGGCAGACCTGGGATTGAAATTGGGTCTTAAGCAGGCTTCACATTTTTAAAAAATATATATTGCAGTCAGGAATCTCTGACTGCATTGATTTTACACAGAGAGGAATTGAGAGGGATAGAGAGTTAGAAATGTCCATGAGAGAGAAACATCGACCAGCTGCCTCTTGCACCCCCCCCACTGGGGATGTGCCTGCAATCAAGGTAAGTGCCCTTGACCAGAATCGAACCCGGACCTTTCGGTCCGCAGGCCGACGCTCTATCCACAGAGCCAAACCGGTTTCGGCAGGCTTAACATTTCTTGTTCCAGTTAGAAAGAGGTTTTAGAGGTGATAGGACTTTATGAACTTTTTAAAAATCCTCACCCGAGGATGTTTTTTATTGATTTTAGAGAGAGAGGAAGGTGGGGAGGGGGAGAAAGAAAGAAGAAACGTTGATGTGAGAGAGAAACAGTGATCCATTGCCTCTGGTACGCCCCAACCTGGGACTGAACCTACAACATAGGTATGTGCCCTGATGGGGAATCAAACCCGATTGATTTGTTTAAAATGTTTTTATTGATTTCAGGGAGAGGGAGAGAGAGAGAGAAACATCAATGATGAGAGAGAATCATGATCTGTTTCTTACTGTATACCCTCTACTGGGGATCAAGCCTGCATGTGACCTGACCAGGAATTGAATTGTGACATCCTGGCTTAGAAGTTGAAGCTCAACCACTGAGCCACACCAGCCGGGCGACCCCCACAGCCTTTGATGCTCCAGTCAACAGCAGCTGGCCAGGGCAAGACTTCAGGAACTTTTGAGTGGTGAGAGCAGAAAGGCATATGGTTGGCTGTGGGGAAAGAGTTCCTCATCATTGCTGAGGAGCTAAATCTCTCTTGCACCCTTGTATCAGTCAGGAGACAGAATTGAATAGAAAAAGCTGTTAGCTACCCGGCCTATGTGGCTCCGTAGTTGAGTGTTGACTTATGAACCAGGAGGTCTAGGTTTGATTCCCGGTCAGGGCACATGCCTGGGTTGTGGGCTCCATCCCCAGTAGAGGGCGTGTACGAGGCAGCTGATCAATGATTCTCTCTCATCATCGATGTTTTTGTCTCTGTCCCTCTCCCTTCCTCTCTGAAGTCAATATATGTAGAGTTAACTAGATAAGAAGTTGTTAAGTAACTGAAAAGTTAAAAATGAACATGGTGGTGGCACCTGCAGGAAACGGCTACCAGCCCTCCGGCTGAGGGAGAAAGGGATGAGGCTGGAATGGTTAAAATGGACAAACTCAGAGGAGGGGCTTGGCAGAGCCTCTGTGGAGGGGGCGCTGCCCCAGTTGGTGCTGGGCCTCTGAGCTCGGAGGAGGGTGCTTAGAGCCTGGGAGTCAGACCTCTGTGGCTGGGACAGGGTGATGCAGGCTGGCTTTGCAAGCGTTGGCAAGCAGTAGCTCACAGGCCACTGCAGAAAGCTTGCTCCTCCTTCCAGGGGGAAGTGTCGCTGGAAGGATGGCTCAGGAGGAAGAAGGACAACGCTCTTCCCCCGCCATCCTCGCTGAGTCAGGGCAGAGCAGAGTCTCAGCCCCCCACACAAAGGGGAGGATGGATGGGTGGGTTTTCAGCTGAGAGATAAGGACTTAATACTGGGGATGCCCCAGAAGTCCAAGCACTGAGTAATTGTTTCTTCTTCCGGCAGGCCGGCTTTGCCCCATGTGACCACCCCGGTCAGGAGAAAGAAAATGAGAAAGCCACTGATCGACTAGGCAAGTGGACGGCAGAGACGGGGATGGATGTTGGGAGAGACTGGGGGAGCGACAGGAGGGGCAGCTCCCCTGTCTTCTCCACCTTCTCCTCGGCTGCCGCGCTGCCTTTTCTGCTCGTGTTTCAGTAGTGCCCTTGTTTGGAAGTCCCACTGGAGCTTCCTTAAGGGAAGTCCTGACCTGTGTCCAAACCCGCCCCTTCTACTGAGAAAGACAGCGTAGGAGAGCAGGAAGAATATAGGCTTTGGAGGTAAAATCGTTTCCACTTTTAACATAACTTTTACTGATTTTAGAGACAAAGGGAGAGGGAGAAAGATAGAATACCAATGATGAGAGAGAATCACTGATGGCTGCCTCCTGCCCCCCCCCCCGCCCCCCTCCCCAATTTGGGATCAAGCCCGCAATCCAGGCATGCACTCTGACCAGGAATTGAACCTCAATCTCCTGGTTTGTAGGTCAAACGCTCAACCACTGAGCCATGCAAGCTGAGCTCCTTTTTTTGTTTTTAAAAACTCTCACAACAATCATATCCCCATTTTGCAGGTGAGGAAACTGAGGCACAGAGTAAAAAAAAATTGGTTCTGTTAAAAGACACAACATAAAATTTACCATTTAACACATTTGAAGCATGCGGTTCGGTGGCATTTGGCACAGCCACAGTGCTATGTAACCACCATTGCTATTTAGTTCCAAACATTTTCATCACCCCAAAGGGAAATCTTGTACCCAGGAAGGAGTCACTCCCCATTCACCCCTTCCTTGTGCCCCTGGCGACCACTCATCTGCTTTCTGTCTCTATGGATTGACCTCTGCTGAACAGGCAAATGTGAGTTGCATGCAAATGAATCATACACTATGTGGCCTTTTCTGTCTGGCTTCTTTCAGCATCATACTTTCAAGATTAATTCATGTAGCCTGTGTACCTTGTAAGGCATACCTCGGAGACATTATGGGTTTAGTTCCAGACCACTGCAGTAAAACTACTCTTTATTTCTACTACTATTTATAGTACAAATAAAGTTAGCTGTAATCTTTTTGCTGATAGAGGGTTTTGCCTTCAATTTATATATATAAAAAAACAAACAAAACAAACCACATCTGTGAAATGCAGTAAAGCAAACTGCATAAAATGGAAGTATGCCTGTACTTCATTCCTTTGGATGAGTCCCATCGTGCGTATAAACCCAATGTTGCTGACCCATTCACCAGTTGATAGGCATTTGAGAGTGGCTTCCACCTTTTGGTAACTGTAATAGTCTTGCTGTGAACGTTTTTGTACGAGTTTTGTTTGCACACCTGTTTTTAAAATATATTTTATTGATTTTTTACAGAGAGGAAGAGAGAGGGATAGAGTTAGAAACATCAATGAGAGAGAATCATCAATCAGCTGCCTATTGCACACCCCTTACTTGGGATGTGCCCGAAACCAAGGTACATGCCCTTGACTGGAATCGAACCCGGGACCTTTCAGTCTGCAGACCCACACTCTATCCACTGATCCAAACCGGTTTCTGCTGCACACCTGTTTTTAATTCTCTTAGGTATACATTTAGGCGTGGGTTATATGTTAATTCTATATTTAAGCTATCGAGGGAACCAGTTGAGGACATTTCAGCTCAGTAACACACTTAGTAATGGGCAGAACTGGGATTTGGACTTAGGCAGTTTAGCTTCCGAGCCGATAACCTGAAATATGACTCTATTGCTTATAGCTGTCGTTATCATGTAGTGTGGGCTGATTTGTTTGCTAGCTCTGATCTGGCCTCACCGTAGCCCTATATGCTTGGAGGTTCGTTATCCTTCCCACACATTCCTCCGTGATTTGAGACGGTTTGAAAATGTCCCTTCCAGCCCTCTCCGTGTTGGGAGGAGGACGTGGTGGCGTCCATTGTGACTAGATGGGTTCCGCCCTGCTGTCTGCTTTTACTCCCCTCCCCCTTGTCCTGTGCTCCCCTCTGACATGCTCTTTGAGGATGAAGGGAAGAGGAATAAAAGAGCAAAAACTCAGTTCCCACCTGTACTGTGACAGTTGATCATTTGCGTTAATGACATGGAAGTTACCTACAATGTAAGCTGTGCCCCGTTCCCTGTGTGAAGTGGCAGACCAGGAAATGAATGGACTGGTTTAAGGCAAAGCATCCTATTGGAAATCATTGATCAGCCCTTCTTCTAAAAATGTCAACAAAACATTTTCTTTCTTTCTTTTTTTAAAGTGCTCAGGTGGCTAAAGAACTCTGTACACTGTTTTACTGCTGCCCTCCTAGTAAGTCTGCCAGACGTTCCCAAGCACACCAGTAGGCCCCATGGTTTGCCGGTTGTTTTAAGACCTTCTTCCTCTTGTTGATTTCTTAGCCCATGGAGCACAGAGCATCGCTAATGGTGGTCCAGGCAGCAATGAGGGCGACCATTCGGAAGAGGAAGGCTTTGCTATGGACGAGGAAGACTCTGACGGGGAACCGAATACCTGGGAGCTGTCAGGAGGGGTGTCCAGCCGTCTGCCCAGGGAGCAGGCTGCCGACCTTTTTAATGAGGACTGGGACTTGGAGTTGAAAGCGGATGAAGGGAATCCGTATGGTAGGTGTGGAGTGTCTGGGGTCCTAGGCAGGGTTCGAGACTCTCCTACCAGATGACCCTTAAAGGCAGGCAGCGTTTGGAATTCTGTGAGCTTAGCCCGATAACCTGTTATAAACCTGCAGTTTCTGTGACAGCTTTTTCACATTGAAAAACAAAACAAAACATGCAAATTTCACATTTGACTCTATAATGTGTCTTTTAGCTTTAACTTCGAAATAGTGTTACTCTCTCCACATATCTTAGTCTGAGCTGAGCAGTTGCAGACACAAGTGCCTTATTATCCGTTTGCTTCCTCTGCACTGCCAAGAACTCTTGGCTGAACAGCACCACTATGGTGCCTCAGAAAGAACATGCTTGCAATTCTTCAGGAAAGGAGGACTGTGTGTATGTGTGTGCGCGCGCGCTTAAACAGAGTGCAACTATTGTCCTCCTAGACATTTTTTGGCTATTCGTTTTTCCCTTCTCTTCTTCCTTTAATCCAGAGGTTCCCAACGTGGGGCACAGGCCCCACAGGGGGGCAGTTTGATTTTTAAGGGGGACAATTTGAGAATGAGTTATTAACAATGAATTTTTTGCATTTCTTATGGTTCTAGGAGCTTCATATACAGTATATAAATAGATAGTTTGACATTTATGCATTTCAGTTTTTTGAAACTTTGCTTTTTTTATATCACTTCATATTATATATATATATATATATATAATTTTAAAAAAAAAATTTCTTAGTGATTTCTTTCTCAATACTTCAACTGTCCTTTTGTCCTTTTATTTTTCTCTTTCATGATGCCATGTTCTTGGGAAGCTTTTTTAGACCAAGTTAATGGCCTTTTAGGCTTCTTCCACGTGAACAGGTGTTCACTTTTTGAATAATAAGAATTATATGTCACGGGGGTGGAGGGGGAGGGGATGGGCATCAGGATTTTAGAGATGCTGAGGGTGAGGCGTGGCCAAAACAAGGCTGGGTACCTCTGCGTTATTCTGTCTTTTAAAACCGCCCGCAGATGCTGATGACATCCAGGGCTGCATTCCTCAGGAGGCCAAACCGTGGGTGTGCTGTGCCCCGCAAGGAGAGATGGTCTATGACCCCAGCTGGCACCATCCGCCTCCGCTGATACCCCATTATTCCAAGATGGTCTTTGAAACGGGACAGTTCGATGACGCCGAAGACTGAGGGCGCGGCTTTTTGCCTGCCAGGTACATGGGTCTTGAAGATGAAGGTCTGTCTTCTCTCTGAGGTGAGAGGTCCTCTCTGAGGAAACATTCCCCGTGCTGCCTGGGCCAGGCACGCAGACTGGTGTCCAATGAGGTCCCACTGTCCCCTGCTTCTGCTGCTGTTGTTGTTGTTCACGAGTATGTTACCTCTTTAGATGTGTGTGTGTGTGTATTTCTGCGTTACGAGGCAGAGTTGTGTTCTTTATAAATAAAGGTAGAAAAAAAATCGATGTGCTTTTTGTCTATTTTTTGTCCCTCGCAACCCCCCATTTAATTAGAGACTTGTGAGAAATGTCGTATTCCTTCATGCGAAGCCCCTGGCTTACATGTAAGGATGGGAGTGCCTGGAGCCTTGAAACTACTCCGGGAAAGAAAATACTCTCCCCGTTCTGCTTCTGCAGACCTGGCACAAACGGCGACTTTGTGGCTGATTTCCTGCCAATGGGAGGTGGACCATTTGCTTAGTCAAGAAGGACTTTCTGAAGGCTGGAAAGTTAAATGGCAGACTAAACCAGCAATTGTATAACCCTCAGTTGGCCTGAAAGGCTTTAAAAATTGTTTTCCATGTCGTGTTTCAATGCTTACAATTACTTAACCAAGTCACCGTTTAAAAAGAAAAAATTCACCTCATTTTAGAGATGAAGAAAAGACTCAGAATGTTGACCTCGTCATTATCACACAGCAGGAAGCCGGCAGCGCTGGGACTGACCCCAGGTGACGGGAAGCCTGTGCTCGGGGTTGGTCCTGTGTGTGTGAGAGCCCAGAGGCGGGGCCTGGGCCAGTCCGCGGTGCATCGGACCGAGCCACGTTGGCCTTTTTGGCAGGCTGAGGCATTTCTTCTCACCTCCCCGCCTTCCGACAGAAGCTGAATCAAGAACAAGTCTCAGATCTGAAGTCTGAGTCAACTCCACCGCAGTCAAAGGCACATACAATCATTTCATCGCTTTTTTCAGAGGCGCCACCAAAAGCGGACCAAGTGGGACCCGAGGAAAGGCTGTGGTTTTGACTGAGGGGCCTCAGGCCCAGGCCGTCCTAGGGAGACGGGAGGTCCCCCACTGCCCTTGCTGAAGGGACCGTTGCAGGCCCTGTCCCCACTGCTCCTCCTCCCAGTGCCGAGCTGGCCAGACGGGCGTGAACAGGAGGGTGTCTGGTGTGACCAGGTGACCTTGAGAAACTGGCGGTGGGATTGCTGAGCGGAAAGGCGGTGGTCCTGTTAGGTTCCTTTGGCCCATGTGTAAGCTGGAACAGTAGAAAAGCAGGAGTCACAGGTAAGGGGAGGAGGGCGGGGAGAAAGTAGTCTGAAAAGCACCCAAGCATGAGTGATGGCAGAGAATGGGCACGAGCTGCTGCTGCTGATCCACAGAGTAAATGAGGATCTAAACTCTGTCTTGCTTTTTAGAAGTGAATCTTTGTGGTCTCTCTTCCCAGTTATTTTCAGCAAAGCAGGTGGGAGGGAAGTGGGGTCTACTGGATCAAGGACCTAGGAAACTATTCTCTTAAGAGTTAAAAATAAAAGTAGCTCTGACTGGGTTGCTCAGTGGGTTGGAGTGTCGTCTTGTACACCAAAAGGTAGTGGTTCGATTCCTGGTCAAGGCACATGCCTAGGTTGTGTGTTCCATCGGTCATGCGTATGCGAGAGGAAACTGATCAATATTCTCTCTTTCCCCTTCTTCCCCCCCAGCCCCCCGCCCAAGAATCAATGGAAACATATCCTTGGGTGAAGATTTAAAAAATTAATAAAATAATAAAAAACAAGGGCTTTTATGGCTGAACATTGAGTATGTCATGAGAACAAGAAAAGGTGGTGGTGGTGGTGGGGGGAGGTTAGTCAATTCTGATTTTGGTATCTAGTATCCCAAATAGGGTTAGTCAAGCCTAGAGAAAGATATAGAAAAATAACTCCCCAGATTGTGAACATTGGTTATCTGAAGGGGTTAAGGTTGGAGGAGTAAGGAAAAGCAGTGAAATGGAAAAATATTCATGACATGATCAATGAAAATACAGATTGTAGAACTCCGATAACGGTGCAGATATGGACAGACGAAACAATCTGGTTACATGGTGGCGGTGGAGACAGTTTGCTTTTATATTTTTGTTACTATAATACGGATTTTGCAATAAGGTATTTAAGAGCAAAATGTTAGTCAGCCGTTGAGCTGCCTCCTCTGCCTCCTCTGCCCCTCTGCCCTGCGCTCTGACAGGCATCCCACTCACCTCCCCACTCTGCTGCTGCTGCCATGGTTTAGGCCTCTGCCGCCTCCTCTAGGGCAAGAGCTCTGCCCGTGGGACCACGTCTTACCGCTGAGCATCCCTGATTCATGGCATGGATGGAGCCCCGCGTGACATTGTTCAGTGAATACTGGCACAAATTAATTCAGTGACGGTGCACTGTCTGCCTTGGCTGTACGGGTGAGCAAAAATAGGTTTACAGTGGTGAGTGCTCGAAACACAGAGTTTATTCTTTTTTTATAATATACAGTATTTTATAGATTTTTTTTTTTTTTTTTTTTTTTACAGAGGAAGGGAAAAGGATAGAGTTAGAAACAACAGTGAGAGAGAAACATCAAATCAGCTGCCTTCCTCACACTCCCAACTAGGGATGTGCTTGCAACCAAGGTACATGTCCCTGACCGGAATCGAATCTGGGACCCTTCAGTCTATAGGCCGATGCTCTATCCACTGAATCAAACCAATTAGGGCCACAGAGTTTATTCTTGTATTATTAATTATATATTTTTATGAAGAGCTGTAAACCTACTTTTGCACATCCTTGTATTTTCGGTTGAACATCCCAGGCCAGTGATGAATGAAGTATTTGAAGAACCTTTAAGAAGTCTCTGTTACATCCAACTGGGATTTATTTAGGATCCCTTTTCTATTCACTTATTATTTTTGAGAATTGTGTAGGAATAGAACAGGAAGAAATGTCTAGAAGCAGTAAGCTTTGCAACCATGCTTTAATCTGAAAGCCTTTATTCAATGACCATGTGAATTGTTCTCTAAGAACTAGTGTGTATGTGTAGCCTGGCCTATGTGGCTCAGTGGTTGGGCATCGACCTATGAACCAGGAGGTCACAACAGACCACAGCAAAAATCTGGGGTGACTGTAAAAGAGGGAAAATGGCCGAAACCGGTTTGGCTCAGCGGTAGAGCGTGGGTCTGCGGACTGAAAGGTCCCAGGTTCGATTCCGGTCAAGGTCATGTACTTTGGTTGCGGGCACATCCCCGGTGGGGGGTGTGCAAGAGGCAGCTGGTCGATGTTTCTCTCTCATCGACGTTTCTAGCTCTCTATCTCTCTCCCTTCCTCTCTGCAAAAAATCAATAAAAAAAAAAAAAAGAGGGAAAATGTGTTTATCTAGTGTGGTGTGGCCCTCTGCTCATTGCATTCGTGGAGGCATGCGACAGGGCCGAAAACAGTCAACAAGTTTTTCTAGCTTTTGTTTAAAAAATACCCTATACTAGAGGCCCGGTGCAGGAAATTCATGCACCCAGCCCAAACCTTGAGGGTGGGGCAATGAGCTATAAGCGGGCAGCGGAGAGTACAGGAGGGGGTAGGGCAGCAAAGTATGAGGGAGGGGGCAGGGGAGGGGCAGAGGGAGCTACTGGAGGGCAGCAGCGAGCTACTAGTGAGCTACTGGTGCACAGATTCGTGTGCAGGGGTACTAGTGTATATACACTGAGTGGCCAGATTATCATGATTTCTGAACGCATAATAATCTGGCCACTCAGTGTATATCCTATATAATTAAAGGCTAATATGCAAATTGTCCCCTCAACCAGGAGTTTGACTAAAAGGCAGGCCAGCCAACCACCCATGTCCCCTCCTCTGGCCAGGCTGGCTGGATCTACCCATGTATGGAATCATGCACTAGGCCTCTAAGCCATATACAAACACACACACACACACACACACACACACACACACACACACACACACATATACTGAGTGGCCAGATTATTATGTGTTGAGAGATCATAATAATATGGCCACTCAGTGTATATTTTTTAAAATAAAGAAGCAGCAGTGGGTTTTATGCCAACAGATTATATGTCTTGAAGACATCTGGAGGGAAAGAAAGTACCCCAGACCAACTCCCCAAACAAACATACAAACAAAACCCAGTGGGAGAAGAAAGATTTGAAGAAGAGAGACATCTGGGGATGCTAAGAGCAGAACCAGTATGAACCCTGCCTGCTTCTTGGTGTTTCCCTGGGGAGTTGAGTCCTCAGTGTGATAGAAGTTGGAGCTTCTAGGCAGTCAGGACCATCTTGTGAAAGATGCCCAAGCCTTGAGCCTGCAGAGAGCCTGGCAGATCCAGAGGGGCCGTGGGAAAAGGTGGACCCTTGAAGCTGGACATTGGATGTCCCCTCAACCAGGAGTTTGACTAAAAGGCAGGCCAGCCAACCACCCCATTTGCCTTGGCACTGCATGCGGGAGTGAGGAGAACCCAGGAGGCCCGGGTAGAAGCGTGGGGTCAGAAATGAGGATGGTCAGAGAGAAACACTTCTGTTTCTTGACCTCCAAGAAACAGATAAAAGATGTGCAGTTAACAAGCAAGGATGGGAACCAGTCCCTGCTGGGGGCCGGGGACAGCTCAGCTGGGTGACGATGGTGTATTTTAAGTATCATCGGGCTGATTAATACCAGAATGCTGATTTTTTTCTTTTTCTTTCCTATCTGGACAAAAAAACTTGGAATTTTTGTTTGGTGGCAGAATTGCCTTTCCAAGTTCATGTAGTCAGTTTTGTGTGTTTTTGATGGCTCTAGCATGTTTCTAGCATGTCTGTTAGGACTTTCTTCTCTTTGGGGTCTGGTGGGGGAAACAAACCTTTTTATCTTCCCGCCTCCAAATGAGCTTGGTGCTGTTGATGGTGGGGAGCGTGGTCGTCGTGAGAACTCCGGTGGGCCTGGTGGGCAGCGCTTGCTCAGACGGTGCTCTCGGACGCTGGTGTGGCCGG